ATTTAATGATCTTAGTGGTAAAGACAACATTAGTTGTAGCATGCGAACCAATTTTTCGTGTTATATAGGAAATGCAGTATTCATAACTGTGTTAAGGCCCCTATAAAATACCGAAAATCACTAATATAATTCCTGTGATATTTTTGATCTCATTATAACAAATTGATCTCTAAAATTTTATGTATTCAGTTCAATTAATATATATGCTTTTAAACCGGAGGGCATTATATTTGAAATCATAACTGTATATATGCGATATAATCTATAGTTATAGTATAAGAAATAAAATCACTACTCTATATACATAAATCTAATTAAAATTTAATATAAGAAAACAAAATTATGATTTGATCCGAATATGATTAGTTGTAGTTCAAGTTACAGTAAATTGTGGGAGCTGTTTTCAATTTTATTTTCGTATTTTTTTCAAATTCTTTTTTTTCAATTAATTTCTTTTACTGATAAATTAATTTTGACAAAGATATATTTGGTTGACAGAATCAAAACAAAGAAAAAATAAATATATTAATTTTATTAGAGTATACAAAAAAAGCAGCATTTTCATGTTATAATGGTAATAATAGCTTAAAAAATGAAAACTATTCGAGTTCATGTAATTGTAATTCTTATAGAAAATAATGCATTTTAAAGTAATCGGTCTACTGGCAATTATGAACAGTTTGTTTGTTTCTTTAAACGTTTTGATATTATAATAATTCGTTAAAATAATTTTTATGAAATTATTATTGAATCTTAAATGATATTATTATAAAATCGCTTATAAGAATTTGAAAAATAATTTATTTTTTCAATACACACTGATTGATTTTGATTTAAAGATATTTAGTGTGTGAATAATTGAATTTGAATTAAGAGATTGACGAGGAATTGGGAGCAAAATATTTGAAAATGAGGAAAAATTTTTAAATTTGGAATATTATGTTGGCAATATTTGGAAAATTTTTAATATAAAAACTGAAGGAAATCAATATAATATGAATGTATTTAAAATACCGCAACAAAGTATTAATCATTTGGCCATTCTATACATTATAATACGATATACGAGTACAACTTCTACAAAATATCTCTTCATATAAAAAATGTAAAGTGATAATTTTATACTCAATATATAATTTGGGTTCTTAACTGGATTTATAATAATAATTGATTTTAAACAATTACTCTATTAAATTATTTGGATACTACATTGAAAATGTTATCGGTCAAGTAAATTAACACACAAAAAAGTGTCTATAATTATTAGAGTAATAAAAACAAATTTTTTTTTAACAAGGAAATAAATATACCAATTATGAAATCATTTATTATGGAATTTTCTATACACACATATATAGTGTTTGAATATGAGTAATTAAATTTTATATAATAATTATAGCACCTATAAAGTACTTATTATAAAATTGATAGTGATTTAAAGAGATGAAATTATTATTATATAGAGAAGGTAATGCGTTTAATGTAGTTTAATAGAAAAATATTGTGTCATTATTAAATTAATTTAGTTTTCGCATTGGTTTAAAAGTAGTTAGTGCTACGTGTCCGCTTAAATAGTAATAACATAAATAGTAATAAAAAAAAATTAGCTCAAAAACTCCCGCTTGTTAAATCTATTCTTCTGCTCTTTTGGTATAATTAGAGAGTATTTCATTATATTATAATCTCTTTTCATTGCAAAAATATCAGACCGATTATTCTTAGAAGCACGTTAAAATTAATCTGTTCTGGGTTGGATGTTAAGAATTATTAAATATTTGGTAAGATTTCTGCTTTAAATTTTTCGGGAAATCTAATATGTAATGGAAATTTAATGCAGAACTATTGCGCTACATTAAGAGATAAGTAATCGTCTCGGAAATTACTGCAAATTGACGGCCGAATTTTTTGGACTTTCTGGGAAACATGGAAATTTTCTTATGTTCTTATTTTTTTTTTCTTATGTCAGATTTAAAGTTTTTTCATTTTGGTGATCTTACCCTAAGAAAGGTTTAGTCCTTTCAAAATGCTATATTATTTTATGAAAAAGTGTTGCCATCGTATTTAATTGTTATTGACAAGAAAAAAAATATTTTTGTTAATTAACAACACTAATTTGACTAGTTTAATAATTTTTTTAAGCAATAAACATATATGATTTAATTTTACAGTTAATTATTGGACTTAATTATTGTAATAATTGTTAAAATGTAGTCAAAATTTGAATATTATATTTCTCGTTTAAATATTATGCTAATTTTATCAAGTACCTATATAACTACAACAAAATAATTTTCAACTAAACAAAAATAAATAATAAAAAAAAAAAAAAAACTTAAAATATATTTTAAATACTTATTAAATTTTATTACTGACATTATAATCATACCTTTATGCTAAAATTTTTACAAAAGTGTTAATTTGCCTAAAGGGTAAAATATGTAAAAAAAAAAGTGGTGTTTACGCTTAATGCACCACAAACTTCTTTGCTTTTTTTTTTCTTTTTCTTGTTTCTATATTTAAAATAGTGGTTGGTGCATAATTTAATAGTTGAATTTTTTCATTTGAAAGTATTTACTTTAATAAACGTACAATAATAAGACCGGAGTTGAATAATTTTATCATAGGATATAATATAATTTATAGCGGTTAAATTTTTTTTTTTAGAATAATTGTAAAATAAAATCTACAATTTTTTTTCCAGGAATCTTGATTAACATTTACATTTAAACCACAATTTTAAGTTTAATTTTACCCAATTCAAGTTTTCAAATTGTCTTATTGATGTTTGAACATTATAAATTCTTGCCGCCCCCGACGGGGGCAGTATATTTCATTCAAGAAATTAAAGCTAATGCATAAGTGTCATAACAATATTAGTGTTTTTTTTTAAGAAATTTGGTTAATTCATTTGAATTTGTCATTAAATGCATCTAATTCAATATAAGTGGAATTGTCCAATAGTTCTATTAGAATTATAAATTGTTGCCGCCCGATCGGGGGTATTTCATTCATGAAATTAAAGCTAATTTAATAACAATATTATGTCATTGCTCTTTTAACCTTTTCGACTCAGCTTTTGAATAGTAGAATTAGATCACATATAGGATCTATCCCTTTACACAAAAAAAAACAACTGTCTGCAATGAAAAAAAGTCGCGTTAAAATTCAGTGTGCCGAATCATGTAACAACGAAATTGTACAATAGAGAACCGAGTACAATGCCATTTTTAATTTTTAGGGATGTTTGGACTTTATTGCTACATATGTGTGCCAGCGTAAGGGTTAAGAAATAAAGTTAACCCATTTGGATTTTTTTTTTTGAGCTATCATTATTGGTATTGGAAAAATATTTATCATTAAATGCATTTAGTTCAAAATTCAATATTATGTTAAATATTGTTCTATTAGACTTATAAATTCTTGCCGCCCGAGCATAGTTGTTTCATTATAATATGTGAAGATTATAAATGTTAACACAATCTCATATAACATAAAATAATCTTGCATTATAACAGAAATCTGAAATTAATAATACTTAAACTTTTACTAGAAACTAAGGAATACTTTAATAATTGAGAAATATTTTTTAAAGCTATTATATCAAATTATTCATTGCATATATATATATATATATATATATATATTAATTTTTATCATATTAAATATTTATAGGGTAAAAAAAAAAAATAAAAATTATTTAAATCACTTGTCAATATAATCACATTGACACTTTGCACCTCATATATTTCACTATATACGCGATAAATTTTTTTGTTTTACTCCTTTTTTACTTTTTGTTATTGTATTTTTCAACATAATTGTCTCAGCATCATAACAGTTCAGAGACATGGACATTGTTAATAAAATATTTTATCATATAATGATACACGCAGCATCATTATATCACACTTGTGATTTAGATAATAAATGATTTAGTTGTTAATATATAGGTGAAGATAAAATAAAATAGTGGAGTGCTGTTGAAAGCTGTTTACTTGATTTTTTAATATTTTTATTATATTTTTTCTATCTAACACTTTAAGTCATATGACATTGTCTTATACTGTGTAATCATTTTGTATATGTACTATATGTATATGTTTAGTAGCATTTTGAAATAATAAAATTCGATCACGTAAAAATTTTCTTTATATCCCTGTAATTTTGATTTTGTGCTTGTATCATTTTCATCCGTTCAAAAGCATTGCTCTTATTTCCTCTTTTCCTTTGAAAATATTTATTGTAAAAGTTAGTTATTGTTATACGTGTAACATTTTTCACATAACTATGATTTAATATTCCAGATATATATATGTATATATATATACATATATATATCGAGTATAAGAAAAGAAAGCGTACATAAGAATGATGAAAAATAAGAAAATTATAGTATGTAATTATTATCCTAGGAATATTAACAATTTACGAGCATAATACGTTTTTATTTTTTTCAATGTAAAATGCAGCATAAACTTGGACTCATATAAATATGTTTGTACTTAATTATATGACGGGTTATATAGTAAAAATTTGTTTGTAATTGCAATAATCTTACATATTTTAAAGCTCATAAAAATAACTTAAGATAGCCGTTTGTTAATTAAGTTTTACTTTAAAATGTTAAGTATTTTTAATAAGTTTATAGAGAACTTTTTTTGAAAATAAACATTGTAAGTTCCAAGATTGACCAAGTCCAAGAGTATTTTTAAAAAAATTAATAGTGAAAATTGTTTGCTTTCCTTTTCTTTTGTACATTTTTTTGAAATTTCCTAGCTATACATAATAGGAAGACAAAGAAGAAGAAGAAGAAGAAGAAGAGTTTCTTTAAAGTTAAGAGTCTGTTAAATGGTCTTTAAAAACATCAGTGTCGTATGTGTTATTATCAGTTGTTTCTATGTTTTCTAAACATCTTGTTTTCATCATAGGTTCAATAAATTGTGTGCAACTAGTGTTGTAACTTTTTAGTTACTTAAATTTTCTTTTATGTAGTAATTTACCTGTCAGGCATCAGGTGCTCAAATAAACTTAGATATATGTATGCATCACCTGTAAAAAAAAAAGAAAAAATTTATTACTCTTTTTTTCATATACATTTTTTTCTTCTCTTTTCTATTTATACTTTTCATTATTAATATTGTGTAGAAGCGACAAAATTAAGAAAAAAAGAGAAAGAGAATAATATTAAAATAGAATTGATATTTAGTGTACATACCTAAAAAACGAAAGAGAACAAAAAAAAAAAATAGAAAAAAATTTTAGTCAACTAACAACATGAGTAACATTTTTACCCATTAAACACGAGCCATCATTTTCATATTATACTACTTATGCACATACTCTTGTAGACATATTTTATTTTTACATACTGTTATAAAGAAGCTAAATCCATAAACAGTTAAAATTAAAAGTTTATGTCTTTATTCTTAAATTTTAATTTAATCCAGTTTTACTGAATTTATGCACTACCATTAAATATCTACTCTCTTTAACACCTAAAAGCAGTTTGGGAATGTGATCTTAACATAGAATAACAACTATGTCAGACTAGTAGACAAATTAAAAATTTTGTGTTTGAACTTGAATTTTGTGTTTGAACTTGAAATTGATTTTTGCCGCCTGAGCATGGGTCACATATTATTTCTCGTGCGTAATCGTCGTGAATTTTTATATTTTTAGTGACAAATTGTTAAATATTAGAACTTATAAAAAGAAATTCGTATATTTTTTATGGTATAAACTTATAGTTTCCGAAAACTTTTCAGGTTTATTGTAGATAATGTGAAATTTTTTAGCACATGGCTTTCAGAAATTCAAAACGAAACATTATTATTTTTGTTTCTTTTCTATTTTTTTTTAATGGTAATAGTATTTTGGTCATACTAGTATAACAACACTGATGGTATAACAGTTACTAAATAACATCAATTGCATTTTTTTTTGTTGTAATTTTGCTTGTGTGAAAACAACAAGTCAATGATTTTCTTTTTTTCTCATTTCATTTATTTTTTGTTTTCCAACAACAACAAGCGCTAGTAAATGAATGGTACATAATCAAATGACACTTGAGGTCATTAAAGAAGTAGTTTAGTTCGTAATTTTTAAGCACATTATTATAATATTTAAATTTTTTTTTTTTTTTCATTTTAAGAGTAAAAGAGATAAAAAATTAAATTGTCAAAATAGAATTGCATAAGATTATGTTATAAATTGCTGATTAACTTTATACTAAAGTTGTTGAGTTAACAGAAACATTATTTTGTTTTGAAAAAAAAAAAAAAAACGTTGAGAAACGCCTGTATACAGGATGAAGAGGCACAAGAGGAAAATCATTTATAAAAATGACCACTATGCGTTCGTACGGAGCACCAGCGCTCAGTGTAGTCAAATATATGAAAAACTGCAATGTGTTAGAGAGAAACTGCAATGTGTGTTATATATGCAAGACTGCAATGTGTTAGAGCTCTGTTCAATGCTTAATCTTTGAAATACGCTCTACAAATATTTCTACTTCTTATTAATGTTTCCATTATTTCAATATTTTTGTGTATTGTTGCGTTGCTGTTGTTGTTGGTATTTTTTTTTTTCATTTTGGTCATTAGCATTTTATTTCGTAAATGTTAAAGTTCTAAAAATATCGCGAATTAATGAAAAAAAATAAAACTAAGAATTGATCATTTAATTCAATATATGGCCACAAGCATTATAACCAAAATTTGTGATTATAAGCGCCACTTCAAACCGACCAATTTCAGCATGTAAAAGAAACAAAAAATAAAAAGAAAACATAATAAGAAAATTAATTTTGTTGTTGTTATTTTTTGTCATGTTTTGTCCCAATACTGATAATAAATTATGTTTTCAAGTAGGAGATGATAGAGATGCAATTGGTTACATTATAATATTTCTTGTGAGTCACAAGTGAGAGAAGCGCGTACGATGCATACTTTTACGATGTTTTACATATATACATTTATTACATTTAATTTATTTTTCTTATTTACATTTATTTTTTTTTGTTTTTTTTTTTGTATTATTGTAATACAGGAAAAAGGTCCTTATAAGGATTTTACCAAAAAGAAATATATATATATATATATATATATACATAATATGTATGTTGTTTTGGTAAAATAAAATTTATAAGACAGAAAAAGTTATTTTTGCGGAATTTAGTTAGACACGATTAACGGGATGCAACAAAAAATTTCTTACTTCTACTTTACGATGGCATACGTAAAAAATTTTATTAAAATTTTACGGTTCTTGTTTGTAAACCATTAAAAGAATTTTCATTTTTTTTTTCTTATTGTACAATTCTTGTCATTTTAAATTGAAAAATAAATGCATAGATTCTTTAGAATCAAAAGCTTTCGGAAAATTCAAATTATTTTATTGTGAATAAATTAAAAATTGCTTAAAGTTTTTGGGTATACAAAAAAAAAATTTCGTTGATACTTCAGAAAAAAATTCAAAGAAGGCTACTTATGAAACATGAATTTCTCGCCTGTTATAAGAAATGGGCGAGAATATAAGGAATTTGTGCATAGTAGGCGAGAATATAAGCAAATTATCCAACCGTCTGTCAAGAATGAAATTGATTTTGAATTTATACTCTTTGCGGCTCGGATATGATCACCTAATGGTTTTTTTTTTCGATAATATTAGAACAAAATGTAAAAGAAAACTAAAATTTTTATTATTTTGTTTTGAGACTTTTCTCTATTTTTTCTGAAAATCTCAGACTTATAATAATATTTCTTGACGAAAAACATTGAAATTTTAAATTTATACAAGATCGATTCGGTCAATGTCAACTATTACAATAATTAACAACCTAATTGACTTTTCCTCTCACTTTTTCTTCTCCCTTTCAAATCAGAATTCTCTGTTTCTCTAATGGATTTTTAATTTTTTTCAATAAGATTTCCCATTTTTCCAATAGGATTTTTGAGCTTTTCTCAAATGATCGACTGAAAGCCGCCTTACCTTCAAAAACAAAATGAAACGTAATACGGAATAGGTTTTCTCATTCGAAAATTACATACACGATCAAGTTCTAGGACTCTTAATTTTTCATAAAATGCAGTCGGAAATGTCATTCTAATTTTCTGGAGAAGAAAATCAGCTTTGATAAAGTGCGTATGTAGCGCATGAAATATATTAGCGAAAAATAAAAAGTATTTTATTCCGAATAAAAGGAAGTTTTCTTTTCACACCAATAAAAAAAAAAGTTTTTCAATTTAAAATGAAAATTATTTCAATCTAATTTTAAATTACTGTATATTTCAATATTGATGCGCTGCCATTTGCTGCGTTAGAAAAAATACTCCATGAACTCATACTAAAATTTTATTGAATTTCTTAATATTTAAATTATTATGAGGTTTTCAGAATCATTTTGAAAATTAATTAGCAAAATATTTTTTGTTTCAAAATAATTTCCAAAAATATAATTGAAATTTCAGTAAAATTTCATTAATTAAATATTTTCAAAAATTTTCCAAAAAAAAAAAAACAAAAAAAAAATTTCCCTTATTGTATGCAATGCGGTCGGTAAAAAAATTTTTAGTGATATCAAAAATTTTTGATAATTATTTTGACCACAAACTCATTAAATGCAAAAATTTCCTATTTAGTAATTATATAGGAAAAGAGATAAATTATGAAAAATCGACCTGATGTTGGATAACACCACGATGCTTAGGCGTCATCATTTTCAACGTTATGCGTGGTTCAAAATTTAATGTTCATAGATCTTGTTAATCATTCTGGTTAATATGATAATGAGGGTTTTTTTTTATGAAGAAAAACAAAAAAAACTACAGAAGAAGAAAATTTAAGCTTAAATTTTTTTTTTGAAAAATTTCCCCGTCTTTTTTTAGGTCTTTATTTCTCATGTCCTTTTGTGCATTATTCATGTTTTTGACTATTTTTTTTTGGTTTTCTGTTTCCATGAAAAAATATGAAGTAGAAAAGAAAAACTCTTCTGTTGTTGTTGTTTTTGTCGTTTTCTTTCGATTTCCTCGTAAAAATGTCATTTTGAATTATTGCAGTTGATTAAGTCATAAAGTTTAAGAATATGATTAATAGTTTTTTCTTTTGGGAATTTTTTTTTACTTCTCTTTAATATAGTATATCGTATCCATGTTACTGGACACCGCGATTTTCCAATTTTAAAAAAAAAACTTTAAACTCTACGAAATAAATGAATTCTTGTTGCCGAGTATCGTTAAAAATTTTTTTCCTAACCTGCATCGCTATATAGCATTCAGTATAAAGATTTGAAATTTTGTAGTTCTTATATTATTAGGATAGCAAAGACAATAGGTGGAAACGACAAGTCAATGATAAAATATGTACGGAAAATAAATGATCAAAAAAAAAAAAATGTTCATCTTCTTTCCGTTCTTCTGTTTTTGTTTTGCTGTCTTTTTCGGGGAGAAAAAAAAATGCATTCTAATGGCACATATACCGTTTTGTCTAAAATTTAAATAATTTTTTTTTAGGTATTTAAATTGTATTGTAGCAGTCATTGCTATTCATGGATTGGCAACATATGCCAAAACGAGTAATTTTGGCTCCTTTCTGGCCCTCTTCTATAAAGTTCCTTTTCTGGGACAAAAATTAGTGAAATAAATTTCTGTTTTTCCGCTAAGACGACTGAAAACTGAAATTTTAATAAATTTTTTTTAGATGAATAAAAAATTCATCATTCTATATTTCATTCCAAGAAGTTACCTAAGTTTAATTAAAACACAACTTCAATTTTAAACAACTTGTTTTCTCCAAAACAATAGGTTTTGTGAAATTTTCAAAATCAGGGGAAGGAAGAAACGACAAATTTTTTCAATCAACACTTTCTTTTTGTTTCTCGACTTAAATATGCAGTTAACAGAGAAATGTTGTCAATCATATGTCAATAAAGATGTTTTGACTCATATATCAAAAGATACGTGTAATTCTAGAAAGACTTGAGTTTTGGAATGGAAGGCATAATTTGATATTTGGATTATTCGTTTACTAATTAGCTCTTCCAAACATTTTTC